GGGGGCGCGGGGAGGGCCGGGCCCAGGAGACCCAGCCCTGCGCGCTTCCCCGGAGCCCGTCCAGCCAGAGCCGAGGATCTTGCTGGGAGCTGGGCGTGGGGACAGCACGTTCCCTGGGATCGCAGCAGCCTCGGGACCCCGTTCCGATTTTATTGCCACGGGAGAGCGCAGACCCTACCACGGAGCCGCGTGTCAATCAGCGCCGCCTCCTCCCCTTGCAGGGATCTCCCCCGCCCCAGGGCTCCCTTGAAGGCTGTCGTTTCGGTCCCTCCCACCACTTCTCTTGGGCGGTTAGCTCCCCCCCTCCCCCCGACCCGCAGGGCCGGGGGTGGGGTGCGCCAGCCCGGAGGTTAAGAAGGACCGTTCTCGTCGGTGCCTTCCTGGGCGTTGAGGTGCTGGGCCATTGACAGCCACAGCTGGAGGGTCCCAGGAGGGAGGGGCTCCCAGAAGCCACGTTCAACCCCCATTGCGAGTTAGAGAACTCTGGCAGTGAAGGGCCTGGTCCTGGGAGATTTTAAGGAGGAAGCTGTATTTAAATTTTCTAGTAGCATTTGCCACCCCCACCCCCCATCTGTCTTAAGGTGTTAGGGGTTGTGGCCACCCTGGCCTTTCACCTTCCTGGCGTTTCCTCCGCCTGACACTTGTGAGCACCCATCCTTGCCCAGACGAATTCCCTATGCCCTTGATAGCTTGATAGAGTAGCCATCTCCTTGGCCAGGGAGAGTCATCTGCTAGGAATGCACCCTCAGAATGGGGCCCTGTATTTGCAATGACTGGACTTTAGGGACAGAAGGTGGTGAGTTCTGTTGTCCCTATGGGCACCAGGGAGCAGAGGGTTTGAAATCTGGGTTGTTCTGAAAAACCCAGGATGTGCGACAGTGTGCAGCCCCTGTCCAACCCCCCTGATCTTCTGTCTGCTGTCTCAGGAGGACCAAGCCCTCCCCAGCGCAGCCTCTGGGCAGCTGTCAAGTCTGTCCCCTCAGTCTTTGCAATGTCTCCAAGGCGGAGGGCTGCAACTGTGCCACCCTGACCCAGAGAGGCAGATGCCCTCTCCTCCGTCCAGCCTCTGCATTCACCCTCTACTGGAACAAAGTCTTTGAAAAATAAAATGTTTGAGGTCTTTGTAGTATTGTTCTGAACACTTTATACATGCATTATCTAATCTTTATACCAACTGTGTAAGGTGTTCTCCAAATTTTATAGATGAAGATAATGAAGCACAGAGAGGCAAAGTAATTCTCCCAAGGTCACATATCAGTAGGTGGCAGAGCCAGGTTCTGAACCAGCTCCCCCCCCCCTCCGCCACCCCATGAATCCTAGGTTGGTAGAGGTCCCAGGACACCAGGTCAGATATCAAATGCCCATGCAAATGAGGAGGGAGAGAGAGTGCTTCGTTCTTGGTCCTGGGCTTATTTGAGATTCTTTGATACTCTTGACCTTTACATCCCTCCAGCTGCTAAATTCAGCTGCTTTTTCCTCTTTGGAATCTAGCACACACCCTTCCTCTTTCTTCCTGACATCTCCCTGGCTGCCTCCCCAACTTCCCTTTCTGACAGCCACAAAAACATTGTCTCCTTGTGTCCCTGCCCATTAGACTTAGCGGATCTCCCTGAAAGTCTTCTCTCTCAACCACGGAGTCAGCCTTCAGTGTCCTGCACTGCCTCACCTTTCCAGCAGCTGAGCATGCAGGCGGACCCATTTTTTTCCTTTTTTGCCCATTGGGCAGCTGGATGGGGCTGGTTGCATGCCCAGCTCTGTG